GACTTATATAGGTCATACCGTTTGCGTCACTAGAATATAATGCAAAAATAACTAAGAGGAAGTTGGCAATGATAAGATTGTAAAATGTAGAAACGCATAGATCTGTCACCTTCCACGTATACTTTTATGAAGAGCACTTATTGTGTTGTAATGCTCTTCCCCATCTCTATCATAAAGTAGGTGTGATTTTTGAAATACTATTTTAATATCTTCTTTAGTAATACGTCTTCGCTCTTGACACGATGCGTTTAATGCTATTTCTAGAGAATTCAATGCGATCCTAGCTGTATAATATGATTATATCAATAATAGTATATAATTGTCAAATAAAAACTCACAAATGTATCTAACCATCTCCATCACTCATGACTGCCAATAATCTTAGTACATCATCATCAACAACTTCATTGTGCTCTTTCGAAGACTGAAATGTCGATTGAATTATAGCATCTTCATTTTCAAAAGGCTCTTTTCTTTGCTGAAAGGTATCTTGGATTGCTCTTTGCAGGATGCAGAGTATATCATCTGGCGATAGCTTTTTTAGCACAAACACTTTGCATCGACTAAGAAGAGCCGAGTTAATTTTGAAAGAAGGATTTTCTATTCTTAAATGATTTAATTAGCGAAGAGTAAAACACAAAAATAATATAAAATACGGATGATGACTAACCTGTTGTTGCACCAATAAGAGTTACATCACCGGACTCGACGTATGGAACTTTATAATTGTTTTTAAATTTGTGTTATAGTGTTATAGTCGAGAAATATATAAAGAATGAAAAAGGAACGATGCACTCACGAAACAAATCTTGTTGTGGTTTGTTAAAGCGATGACTTATAGAGTAAAAAAAAGAATGTTTTAGATAATTCGATGAACAAGATATTTGCTTACACGGTCAATAAAGTACAATGACATACATCTCATCTAAAAAGATTATTGTTCGCCTTCCAGTTAGTCTTTGTTCATTTTTTGCTTCATCGAATGCCTTTCTAAAAATTAATAAAATAATATTAATATCTTAGATTCGTTCCTAAAACAAATTATATCTATTTACACTCAACTTGATATCAGCGGAGGCTAGAGTTTTATAAATAAAAGTGAATCATTTGTCTAAATATTAAAAATATACCAATAATTTTAAGGAACAGCAATTATACCGTGAGTGATTCCAGAAAATTCTTTACATATCGATTGAGTCATTTTGGTAATTATCTAGAAAAATAATTTCGGGTATGAAATAAGAATTTACATCAGATAAAATAGCGAATTGATAATAAACACACTTTGGCGAGAGTCGTTTTTCCTGTTCCGCTAGGACCCCAAAATATCATTGATGGAATTTTATCGCGTAAAATTAAATTTCTGAGCATTCCATTTTCACCGATTAGATCTTTTTGACCTACAAATGCATCCAAACTTTTTGGTCGTGCTTATCGATAATGAAAGAAAATCGAGCTTTAATTTTGTAAACTTTTTAAAAAATATACGGTCGATCATATAGAGAGCTGATGCACCTCTAGCGGCTAAAGGAATGTCCACTTTTGTATGGCTCGTTTTAATTTGCTTATTTGGCCGCAGATCTGACGTCTCCTTTAATCGTGCAATTGAAGTTTCTTTTGAATGCGCATTTGACGTCTCTTTAGAGAGGATTGGGGATACGACCTCTGTCGATGGCTTTCCCCAATAATCTATCATGTTTTTGCGTTTCGTTGCTTGCGTTGTTTTATCATTCTATAAATCGCAACGATTAAACTTTAAGATCGTGTATTCAATGTATATTCAATACTGATTATAATTATTCGAAATCCCACCTTGACAGGTGATGCCAATTTTTTAGGATCTTTAATAATTGTCATTGAACAATTATTGTCAATATGCTCGTTGACGATTGCAATGTCAATCAAGTTTCCGCACACCGGACAATTTACTTAAAGAGAGCTAAATATCATGAAAACGGAACATAAATTCTATTTAGAATTCAATTTTTATGAGACATTTATTGTACCTTCTTCTGCACCCATTATACTATGTTATAATGAATAAAAATAACACGCGTAAAAGGGACTAAAGCGAATATTATAAGTATTACGTGGCTTATAACCGTCATGACTTTTGTTAACCTTTTTTGGCTGGCGTTCACGTGATAAATTATAATATTCACATGCATATACATGTACAAAGCTCGCATATAATCCGGCTTTTTCAATTTTTTCAATTTCCTGTTCTTAGATCAAAATGGGAAATACACAATCTAATGAAACCACGGAGTTACAAAAAACCGATAATAGTATACAATCCTCAGAATCTTCGCAAAGTGAACTGACAACACCTATTACTTCTGTTAGGTCAATAAAGTCAAGAAAGACTTCATTTCCTAACTTTGGTTCAAATTCACCAGTTGTTGGTTCACCTTTACGTTCGCTTGATGAATATAAAAAATTCGATGAATATAAAAAGTTCGAGGATTTTTATTTTGAAAACATTGAGGATGAAATCTATTCAACAAGCTTTAATGAAGAGGATGTTTTTAGTGGTGAAGATGGCTCTTCAAAAGCTATTTCAATTCGGCGCCCATTAGCTATGACGTCTGAGCCGTCTTACAAGAATTCAAATAAAGTCATACATGATTTTAGTGTAAGCGGAGGTATAGCACCATTGACTAAAGCGAATGTACAAGGTATTGTCATAAAAACTCAATATTAGTCTTATAATAATTGTGAATACATAATTTAAGTTTCGATTTCTTAGCCAAATTCTTGATTTGAGTGTATAATCATTTTATTAATAGGTACAAAAAATAAAGGAGTCCCTACGATTATTACTTGGAGCCAAGGTGGTAATAATGTTTACGTGACTGGAACTTTTAATGAGTGGAAGCATAATATTCGATTATGTAAAAGGTTAGTGTAATAGATAATTTTAGACAAGTGATGATCGTATATTTTTATTATTAAAATACGTATTAAATAGCTCTAAAGATTTTACTACGGTTTTGAATTTACCACCGGGAACTCATAAACTTAAATTTATTGTTGATGATGAATGGAAATGTTCAAATGAACTTTCAACTGCGACCGATCCAGATGGAAACTTGGTAAATTATTTAGAAGTATTTGAGGAAGAAGGAGATTCTATGGATCAGAATGAAATGAATGCGGATGGTAAAAAAAACATGTTTTAAATATTATAAGGCAATTGTGAATTTGTTCGTTCTGATACATATGATTATTTTTAGATCTTTTGTCAAGTACGCCTCCAGGAGAGTATACAGATGAGATCCCGGGATATCTTCTTGCATATGCACATTCCCGTAACATTATTGAAAACAACATTAGTAATTCCACATCAAGAAAAGATTCCCCTGAACCTCGAGGAAGCATGACAGGAGAACAACCACCAGCCTTACCACCACATCTGGAGAAAGTTTTGTTAAATAGCTCAGCAGTTTCAAAGGAGGATAATAGTGTTTTGCCAGTACCCAATCATGTAGTGTTGAATCATTTGTATGCTTGTTCAATAAGAGACGGCGTGATGGCCGTTGCCGCCACAGCAAGATATAGGAAAAAGGTAATCATCGTTATCATTGGTTATTAATATTGTAAATTAATTTCTAATGTTCCTTAATTTCTTTTATAGTATATGACTATTGTTTTTTACAAACCCGTTATTATATAATACCATATTACGGCATTTAATCATTATGAATAATTAACAATCATATAGATTCCAGTTAATTTGTAATCCTTATCATGTAAATTCAATTCATTATTGTATTTCATGCATCATACGCTGATTTCTTAAGAATCTGAAATAAATTAAGGAGTGTGCAAATAATAAAACAACCCGAAACTAAACTAATGCCTTAAATAAAAGCGATTTCATGTGCTTTCTAAATCGAATTGACGTTAAATCCAATTTCGGCTAATAAAGTTTTGACTTTTTCACGATATTCTGCCAAAACTTGTTCTGGCGAATTCGCATGTGAAACAGATTGTTGAAATAACATGCAACTTTCTGATTCACTTCCAGCATTTGACGTTCCAAAATCGTCAATATTACTATTTTTACAACTGTTTTCCATCGTGCTGTCTGATTTTTCACGGCAACTACATGTTGAATCAGTCGATAAAGTTGCTTTAAAATAATTTTTTGTGAAAATTTTCTCAACCGTCAAATTTGCAAGATCATTTTCTAAAGATTTTAATCTATCAATAGTAGAATGAGCTGGAGGTATAATGTTACTGTCATTAACATTAGTACTATTAA